AGATGTGTTACTCGGTAGCGGTAGATATTCGTAGTCTTGGAGGGAATATTAAAATCTCAACAGTGAAAAATTTTTATGGTGGTGTTGGTCGCAGTACAGTTCCTACTGTTAATCAGATAAACGCATGGGTAAATAGTTTTAATAATAATGCGGAGTAGCGGGAAAGGAACTGCCAGTATATGAGTTAGGGCTCGGCAGGCATTTATGCTTTATTCCTCCCTTGAAACAACCTGCTACTCTATTGTTTTTTACTTTCATTTTTACTTAGCCGGCCGGCACTTTCTCATGTATTACTTTGCAATAAAGAATGTTTTGATTGATTTTAAAATGTGTGCGTTTTGCAAATGTAAATATAAATCTACACATATTTATTCAAGTGATTATTAACTCTCATGATAGTTTCCCGATTTATACTTTCATTTGAGAGAAATACATGATAGCGTCATTATGCGTGTAAACAAACGAAACTGAATGATTCCCGCTTTATATCTTCATTTGAGAGTGTTACGCTCTTATTATTGAGCCTTTCAAGATTGAGATTTTTTTCATCCCAAATATAGTTGATTATCATAATATACTGTATCTTGTCCATTAAAATGTTTGAGATTCTGCAATATATAAAGGCCCAAATTACTTGAAAAAAGTCTTTTTCGCAATCATTACAGATCAAGGTCGACGTCGTAATCTAAATCCTTATCCAACGACATTTAACTTATTAAATGAGGCAGTTAATAATAATGATAATTTGAAAAAAGATTATGATGCGAGCAAGTTTATGCGGATAGACGAAAATACAATTAAAGCAACCAGAACGGAAGTAATTTATGATGAAAGAAATGAGGATGTTCATATAGCATATAAGGCCGAAAGCTCTGACTTTTGTGATAAATAATTTTGGCGACAGATCAGTTGCTGAAATTTCTACACTGACTTATCTACAGTATAAGATCGTTTGCTAATTGCTAATCTTAACAGAAAAAGCGTTCTTTCCTTTGATGAGGTAAGTAGACATTCTTCGACTTATACAGTATAACAACGTAAGACACTTCATTAAGTAATGTAAGCAAAAAACTTTTTATTCATGATGATTCATGTGATTATATTAATTAAAGAGGAGATAATTATTTTTACAATATAAAAAAAAGATACAATCTTTATGAAAAACTTTTATCGCATTTAAATTCGCTTATTAAATTTTCTTTATTGCTAGCACAGAGTATTGAAATCTAATTATTTAAAATAGCAAACTGAACGTGAAACATATCAATGGGAATGGGATTAGGTAAAGTAGCAAAGGGGTTAGGTGGAGGAAGCCGAGGAAGAGGTGGTGGCGGTGGATTCAAAACATTTGCTGGTACCCCGTGGTAAAGGCATGCCAATTGAATGTTGATAATGCATTGCCCAGGTTGCAGGATGATCGGATTTCCATTGCGATCTATAGTTCCAAATTCGTACTAAATGAAAGATATCTTATGTTATATTTTTATACGCTTTTAGCAAAAGTTAAATCTGTAGAAAAATAAATTTACCATCGTGGGATTTAATGCACCGATAGCTGTTCGATTATTTATACAATAATGCCAGGCCTATTAAGAATATAAAAACAATCATACATTAATTACTAAGAAATTGAGCAGAAACCGAATTCTTGTCATTTCTTACCGTCATTATTGAAGGCCTTGTAGCAGGTGCGATAGGCTCCTCTATTTTAATGGCGATAGCGTCATGGGCTCGACCACCTTGAAGCCAGTATTGTTCGACTTTATTTTTGACATCCGCTTCAGATTGTGAATACGCAATCTCTACTACTAGATTCGACCATGGTTGAGTCTAAAAATGTAATGTCATATTGATACTGTAGAATCTTAAAGAATAAAATAAGGAAACGAATAAAAGCAATAAATTTTCATACACCACTTTCATCACATCCGCCCCGAATTAATCGGGGTTTCGATACTGGTAACCAAGATGCATCCGCTTCTTTTCCCGTTCTAGGAGTTTTCGTTGCTTTTGCCAAAGATAATTAGTAATAGATTTAGCTAGCGCTAATAGTATCAAAGGAAACTAACAACACTCACTTGTAGCTCCATCATAAAGAATGTCGACATTAGTGCTTCTCACACCCCCAGTTACCAGATTAATTTCACGGATTATGGCACCAACACAACGCTCGTGAAATTTTGTAGGTAATTCAATGACAATGACGGTTCCATTTTTCCACTCCCACCAGCCGTGAATATTATATTTATCCGTACGTTCGACATAAGTATCAAAAGGTACCTCAGTAGTTAGCTCATATGGTAAACTTGAACAATAAATCAACAATTAGCTTACAAAAATAGTCAAGTTGTTGAAGTAAATAATAAAATGACTTACGTTGCCTCTTCCCACCTGGCCTTCGAATGTAATTTTCCGGTTTTCCACCAGTACTGGCGATATTTTTTCAGTTCGCTGAGCTCAAAGTTACTAGAAGTGGACATAAAAGAGGTGGTTGCAGTATCTTGGGTTGATTGGGTACTTTGACTAGTTGACATGTTTCTCAAAATAGTAAAATCGTCGTTCCCGTATAAAGTTGTCATGTTTATCACAAATATTACGCAATTTCAATGGCTACAGTAATTATATTGATTATTAATTATTCTATAACTTTCCGTCGCACAATTTGATCAATATAATGATTTAATCGAATAATAACGGTGGCTTAGCTATCATATCAATAGATCAAGGGAGGTGAAATCTGATTGGTCGATCAATCTCGTGATTTATGGAAACTCGCCAGCTCCTGGAACACTCCAAGAACTATCGAGGAACTGGTAGGGAACTGGTGGAGATCACATGTGATACGATATACAGTACATCATGCCACAAACTGATTTAGCCGAAGATGCTGTGCATATGCATGTAAATATAA